TGGTCGAAGGCGCCCAGCTACCGAATTGAGGGAGGGACATCTTCCGACCTTGTTACGAGTATTTATTTTTTTGGACTTCGAGATGGTGTGCTGTGCTCGAGTAGTGTGAATGGGTACAAAAGTCCCTTGAAATCGACTATCTCCGTCAGCTTCTAATCTCCGGATCCTGAGTCAAGTCTTCTTAAAAAGAGTTAGCTAATTGAAATAGATTATCCTATCATATACCGAATCAGCATTTTCCCGACAATATAGGATCAACTCTCAGCAGGTGTTGGATCTCATTTACTGGGATTTGCAATTTCCTTAACTTGTCAAACTAAAATTATCCTGGGCCAACGGAGATGGTGGATCTTGGAGATTTTACCGTAGGCTGTAAATTTACGGTGCTGTAAGAGAGAGATACTAGGGGTAGGGGGAAAGTATTGGGACGAGCAGGGGGGTTCTATGTCTGTGCAAATTACTCAAATTAGTATCTTCAATCCCACTTCAAGTAATTCACAGAGACATCAAGCCCCCCTGCTTGTCCCAATACTTCACCCCCACCCCGAGTACCATCCTCCAAATACGGTGAAATGGCCCCCGGTTGGATTCGCTCGTCAATATAAGGATTTTATTTTAATCTGATTTAAAAATGGCAACAAAACGCTCTCACCTAACCATTTATGGCTAAAATTATGCCTATTTTGGCTGAATTGGATGTTTAGACCAGCCATTACTTTATCCAAATGTATTAGCGACGGTCAAACCTCGCTTTATAATAATGCTATACCCCGTGTAACGTAGTAACAGTGCATTGGACGAGTACGAGTAGGTACAAGTTTTACGAGCAGTATGGCACGAGCACTAGCACGAGTGCTACAGCACTACTGTCTCAGTGGGTACTTCTCGAGTACCAATACCGGTACTGTGCCATGTGGAATACCCTACCGCACCCCCCCACTCACGACACCGTTTGTTCCATCGGGGGCAAATGCCGTCAGAACTCTAATCGAAGACAGATGAGCCAGGATATTGTAACATGAACGCCTCGTCTACTGTGTCCCTCTTGTTTCGTCTAAAATGGTGGCTGAGTTTGCGGTGATCCACCCCCCTGCTTGTGGCCTAGAAGGTGGATTCCAAAGTCCTATTATACGAAGGTACAGCGCCTAAGTTTTGAATATTTTGCTAGCAGGGGGTATTCCACTAGCAGGGATTAAGGTGATGAATGGGGAAAGGTCGCTTAGGACTACAGTAGTGTGGAACACAACGCGATTTTCATGATCTGCGGCAATCCTATTGCCTGATACTGACACTCTCTTCTACTCCCTTCAGATATCCAAGTTTACAACCGCTTTAATGGATCAAATATTTCCAACTCCTCTGCTGACTATGCCCCCTGGTCCTCCGATCCTTTAGTCTTCCAGTCTCCTACAGCCATAAATCACCCACAAACTAGAAGTAAGGTAAGTGAGAAATGCCCAGAACATGAAAACTCTTCGTCTCATAAACAACCTCAAGGATGACCATCTAACTAAAAAATGGTAATGGCAGGATATATATAAAAAACAACAACCACATCCTCCTGTCCTTCCACAGTACTTCTGTGTATACAGGGTCCTCCCAGGTACGTCCCCCTATGCTTTTAGAAATATGATAACTAATAAAGGAAAGACAAACTTCAGCATTGGATAGCCTCTAACTATCGTTCTCCCATCTCCCCCACTCACCAGCTTCCCCAGTCTCCATCTCTCCCGGTCTCCAGCTTACCCATATTCCCCGGTCTCTAGCTTCCCCCATCCACATCTCCCCCGGTCTCCAGCTTCCCCCATCCACATCTCCCCCGGTCACCAGCTTCTCCACCTTTCCCGGTTGCCAGCTTCCCCATGTTCCTCGGTTACCAGCTTCCCTGGTCTTTAGCTTCCCCAGTCTCCGGCTTCCCCGGTCCACAGCTTCTCCAGTCCATAGCTTCCGCGGTTCCTAGCTTCCCCAGTCTCCATCGTCCCCAGTTGCCAGCTTCCACAGTGCACAGCTTTCCAGCTTCCCTTATCTACGACTCTCCAGCTCTCCTTGCTCCCATCCTTTCCGACCCACAGCTCCCAATCCTCCCTGGCCCACAGCTCCCAACCCTTCTCAGTCCAAAGCTCCCACTCCTCTCCAGTCCCCTGCTCTCCCGGCTCTTCATCTTTCCTACTCTATAGCTACTGTGATCTCTCACTCTGTGTCCTCAAGATGAGAGTGGTGTTTGGCCATAGCTGTGTTGGGAAAGGGATGAAGGAAACCCCGGGAGTGTTTAATACTTGGTGAAAAGGCCGTTGGCATCAATAACGGCCTGACATCTAGCAGGCATACTTTCAATAAGCTCTAGGAACTCGTGCTCTCCTACATTATTCCATGCGGTCTTGACAGCTACTCTCAATCTGTCATACGACATAGTCTCTGGATAGTTATCTTGGAGATAATTCTTCATGGTATGCCATACTTTTTCGATAGGGTTTAAGTCAGGTGAGAATGCCGGCCAGAAAATAACCTCGATTCCTCTCTCTCTTAACTCCAGAGAGGTATTGCCTGCTGAATGTCCTGGTGCCCCATCCTGCATGAGTCTCAAATCTATCCCATCTTGATGACAGAGCTCAATGTACCCATGAATAACAGGTACTGTATGTGCGCAGTAGGTTTCTGAATTGATTGGACCCTAATCCTTTTCCCAAAATATTCCGGGACCTTGCGTGCTACCATGAAAACATCCCCAGAACATCCATCCTTTCTTTCTCTGATGTCTTTCAACAATACAAGTAGGGTCCCACTCTTCTCCTGCTCTCCATATAACCTAAGTGCGTGTATGCCTTCCACCCGTAATCCATATTTCGTCGGTCCACAGTATGGAATTCCACTCTGCCTGTGTCCAGTGAAGATGCTCCTGAGCCCAGTTGAGTCTTATTACACGGTTTCGTTCAGAGATTGGTGGTTTTCTCATTGCCAGCCATCGGTGAAACCCCTCCTTAATGAGTGCTGCCCGTATTGCTTTCATTCCTACCCCCAAATCCAACTCCTCAGCCAATTGTTGAAAAGAAAGCCGTCTATTCCTGGCTGACATACACACATATCCGATAAGGTCTTCAATCTGTGCTTGGGTAAGAGTAGGAGGGCGACCTGGTTTCTTGGTTGGTGTTGCTGGCGATGTGCATGCATACTGAATCTGGTGTTGGGAAAAGCCTGTTTTTTCCTGAATTTGCTTATACCTCCAGCCTATTGAGCGTAGGAGCTGGCAGTCATGTCTTTGGTCCCGGGTCAAGTGCGGCATATTGGTTGATAATTAATTGTGAAGTATCATACGAAAAAAATTACTCTCGTGAAAAACCTTTCATCCCCCATTCCAAGACTTCAACCCACCCTCCTTCTACTTACAGTTTACCACTATAATCCCTGCCCGCATAACACCCCTGCTAGCAGAATATTCAAAACTTAGGGGCTGTACCTTCGTATTTATCTTCCATTAGAGTTCTTACACTACGGCAAGCTATAATTCTGCCCAAGGATACTACCGGAACAACCATCGCCCCCCGTATTTGCCATCAACAATATCTCCCTCCCCAAAAAAAAAACCCCATGTCATCCGCGGTACTTCCACAGCATCATGCAAGTGAAGTACTTTACATCTGAAACCGTTGGTACTATAGACCCTCACAACCACATATCACTTGACCACGTTACCCCAATAATCCATGAAGCACCAGAATACACTAGCGAGGGTCAGGAGGAGTGACTTGAAGAGGAATTATCTCAAGAGGTAATAGTATTTCACATCACCGCCACAGAAACTCGGAGTTTAATCTCTTTGGACAGCTCGGTTTCCCTTGGGCTGGATAGCACTCGCCGTACCTCCCTTCCCCTTACTAGTGTATCCTGATTCTTCCCAGATTATGTGGCATTGTCGCTTATTGGCTATTGTATAATTCTTGAACATCTCATTGTTGGTCGGGCATCGTAAAAAGTAATAGGGGTAAGTACTTTGCCTGGTCGAAACCGGCAAAACCACACCGATATAGTCAATGACCATTAGCAATTCGAGTCCACTATATCAACCCCTCATGGATTCCCACCAAGTTATACACCCAAGCAACCGAGAATCTGGGAGCCAATATTTTGCTACCTGTACTGTTCATGGGCCCGGGAATCTCCCGATATGGAATCACTTGTGTAGGATGGCCCGGAAATTTAGTCTTACTGTTCCTGGAACTTATATTAAGACCCAATAATACCCAATCTTGAGGGTCCATAATATTATACGAGTACGCACTCTCCAGAAACGATTATTTTTTCCCGAATGTCGGCACGCTTCTTACAACGGTAGTGTTTCATTGAGCCAAAAATGGTTATAATTTAATAATAACCTCCGATCGCGTTATAAACCAACGGAGGGCGTCGTTTTTGGTGTAAGGTTCTATACTGTACTCGTACTTGCATGATAACGATCAAATATGTTGCGGAGCCATAGCATTTGTAGTACAAGTACAGTACGTGTATTGCGGAGAATTTACTTTAACTCCGACAATACTTTCTGGCCATATTGAACAGGATGGACCGGCGCAAGCAGCGGATGGGGGGAAATAGGTTATGTTTTCCACCGCTTTAGCTATATTGTCGGGAGAAACTAAGTGCCGTGAACCTGCCCCCCGTACGGCATATCGCATTGATTTTTGAAGGGCTTCTCTTTTGTCTGATTTTTCCTCCTTACCGGAACGGCAGCAGGTGGTTTCCGGCGAGAGTAGTTTAGAACGAAGCCTTATGTTAATCGCGAGATTTCCATGCCGTGGATAATCTAATCCGACTGCTACTTTTGGGTTTGTCCTCTCTCAACGATATGGGTTCTGTACTGTACTGTTTAGTGCTCGGGAGGGGTTCAGTTGTACGAGTACTGTACAGCACTGTGTGCTATGCAATGGCATACCGGTAATCGAGTCTCAACCGACTGACTGGGCACAGTAAAATATATCACCCCCCTACGGGAAACGGGACCCCCATCAAATACCACACCTCCGGACTCCATCCAGAAAATGTGCGAGTAATATCGCGTCTATAGGAGAGTATGCAATGTCATGCAATGTCATGCGGTCTAGATTAGACAGTATCCATACTCTAAATACAAAAATGGAAAAGGGAAACGTTGCGCGATCCTGAAGGAAAGAAAGTGAGATTGACGAGCTAAGGAGGGCAAGAAAAAATGAACCTGGTTTTTGCCAGGCAGGCATGCGAGGCTTAGTCTCATAAATTTCGTTGTTATTATGATAAGCTTTTGATTTTGATTTTCTCTGAGAGCACCCTTCCATCTTATCCAGCCTTTCTATTCTATGGCTTTCCCTTGGCGAGTTCTGTGGTGTGGTGTGGGATTTGGGTCTTTTGGAGAAAACAAGAGCTCCCGAGCTTGATGAATTCTTCATAACATTACCACCATTACCATCGTGAATAACCTCTCGGGTTCCCCCTGCTTTTAGACCATGACCTCCCGATAGCGCTTCTCCACTCTATCCATCACTATCCTTTCCTCTGGCCGAGGGTCACATCTCGTCCCTAATACCGGGACCCGCACCCATCTACCCAGCGTGGCAAGACAAAAACAGAAAGTCCGATAGGCCCAAACTATCCCCCCCTCCAAAAAAAACGGAAGAAAAAAACAAAGGAGGCACAAGGCCCAACCGCTAACTAAACCGGCCTCAGGTTCGCCAACCTGTCCGGCGGGGATACATGGCTCCCCCGCGAAGATCTGCCCTCAGAACTCACCTGCCCTCCCGTCAACTCAGCTGTACTATCAACGCCAAAACTCGTAGCCTTGAAAACGACAAGTCCATGCTCACCCGCGCTCCTGCGTTCCGGCAAACAAACCTGTTTCTTGCCCATCTTTACAGAGAAGCTGCTGTGTCCGCGACTGGAACTGCCGCCCGATGCGTTTCGAAGCTTGCAACGGGCGAGGAGGACGCGCCCGGCGGGCAAGCATGCGGCGAACACGGCGATACAACATTCGGCGTAAGACCAGATTTGGGCTTGGCTGTTAGTGGAGGTGGTGGGTTAATATCGCTTTTTCCTTGAATTCGGGTGAGGGGCAGATGACAGGACCTAAGCGGAGTGGGGCAGGTGGGACAGAGGATGGAGTGGACCGGGAGGGGTTTGTATTACGTTACCAAGTTTGGGCTACCGCTCTTACCCAAGGCGTTGCGCTTGGTGACATAGGCGTATCTGAGTAGTGCCGCGATTATGGTGAGACAGCCGAGCGATAGTAAGAAGGCGATTGCGACCATTTCGGATTTTCGGAGGTTCAATGTCCTCAGTACCAAGATTGGGATTACCATGACTTCAATTGGGTTTTTTTTTCTCATGTCAGTATGTTTCGGGTATCGCATTTCGATGGTGGGAACGTACTCAGTAAATCAGTAGTCACATTTGTCACCATTGGAAATGTTGTTCCGAATGTTGAACGGAAGGAAGTACAATGGTTCTCAATTGACCTTCGGATAGAAAATTAATCCTAGTGCTTTTACTTGCAGTGGTGGTGAAAATTATGGAATTGCACTTACCATACAAGCCTGAGCGGGCGACAATACACCAGGGGTAGCAAGAAATTTGCGAACCAACTCAAGATAGTGTAAAACGTCGTGAATTGAAGCATGCCCTTAATTCGAGGCGGTAGAGAACGGAATATGTCAAAGTACAACGCTAAGAAAGAGCCCTTCACGAGCCATACTCCAGTAATGTACATCTCGACCTCCGCTAGTTGGAACTGGTGAGAAGATTTGTTTAGCACTTGCATAAACCAAAAAGGACAATAACATGTGTAAAACAAAAAAAAGGGATGTACCTTGAATATTAGAGTCAGCGTTTCTCTAGGCATACCCAGCGATTTTGGTATCGTGGGGTCATCGCGATACTTGATTCGCATTGCCTGGTACACTGTTGTCGACGACGTCTCTAATAAGATCAGTAAGAAGGCCGTGAAAACGCAAGCTTCGCTGGCGAAAGCTGCGAGAGTCAGACGAGGTCGAGTGATAACCAGGTACAGTCGAATGGCCAGAAATATAGCATCGAAAACAACGAAGGACCAAAGGATTCCTATCATTCCCTCTGGAGTGACCACCATCTTTGCAATATCTCTTTCGATCTCTGCCCCACTTTCTTCCTTTCTTCCTTCAAAAAATCTCCTCCACAATTTTCCTAACGGTGCTGTATGATTTTGACAAAATGATAACTCTCCAACAGTGACACAACGCCGATTAATCTCAGGTGACAAGCTCGGCCTTGTTTTAGAGTTTAAGGTATGCAGGGAAAGGGAAGGAAGAGAGGAGTGAAGGAGGATATATCAATCAAATGCCAAAAGGAAACAGGAAAAAGGTGATGGGTTTTCTGCAGGTACCTCACTTAAGTATGGGGTTTATCCAAGCCTCACTTCTTTTCTTTTTTCCTTACCCAGGTATTGGCAATTGGGGCATATCTATGATAGCAGCCTAGGATGGTTTAGTTGTGCTCTGCATGCCAGCCTTGCCTTCTCTCCCATCCGCCCAACGGTCCGAGAGTATTATGGGCCAGGTAATATATAAATTCAGAGTGTGCATGTGGGAGGTGAGTGAGGGAAGGGGAAAACAGAGATATCGATGGATAGAGTGTTTTCCCCTTCCTCCATGAATCTTTGCTCCCAGGACGATTGCAGATATTGGTGCACCGTAGGGTACCGCACAGTAAAACATTGTACAGAACACCATCCTTCGTTTTCGTATTCCATCCCATCCACACAATTCAAGTTTCTTTTAAAAAATTTCTCACCCTCTCTACTCGAGTATAATATGGCCTCGGAGCCGCCCCGGTTACTGAGAGCCGCCTGCGGTCCCGGGTGAACTGTGCCGCCCCACATCCTGTAGGCGATACGGGTGTGTTAACTTCGGAAATCCCCGCCTGGGAAAATAACCTGGAATAACCCAGGCTGACTGCCGTTTGGCCGACAATACGTTTCCGGCACATTCGTAATATTGCGACGTTTGCGAAAAGGAACGGGCCTCGAATGGAGATGCAAGGGGATGTACTCGTAATGTCGAAGCGTTTTTAGAAAAGACTGCTATTGCATACCACCAAAAATTGGCCATTCTGCTGGGATCTTGGTGGTATGCAATAGCAGTCCTTTTTAAAAACGCTTCGACACTACGAGTATAGAGGTGCATTTACTCGAATTAGGGTGACGTGTGTGAACACGCCTGGGCACGCATATGCGCCGAGACCATAGCGCATTTGACCTGCATATCATATATCTTTTGGTCTGAAATCAGAGCGAAATCCCATAAAGCAAAGAAAGCTGTATAGTTTAAAAATCAAACAACCAGTCACTCATGCCCAAAAAAAGAGGTATCAATCATAGTTAACATAGTGTGGTCACTACAATGGGTAACACAATTTGTCTGATATAATAGGATAGGATAACCTCATCATTGCTCATTAAACCATCTATAACAGAAGTAAGATAATTCCAACTCTGTGCAGCACTGAGTATTTCATGTTTACACTTCCTATTACCTACTTTAATCATCCTATCCAGTAGTGTAACTTTACTCTACTAAAGATGTCTAGGTGTTGTGCTTTAATATATTGTAATAGTAGGTACCCAGATATTCAATTTAAATTCCTTAAAGTAATACATCAAAAAATATCTGATAATTTCTATCTGTCAGCTTCCTAAGTCTCTAATCTGGTAATAGGTTTAAACTATAAAACTATATTAGGGGGTCATTATTGTATACTTATTATAGCATACTAGTATATGTTTAGATTATTTAATTAAGTTAAAAGTTCTTAAGAACTGGGGATACTACAACTTAAAGCTCTAAATAAAAGTAGTAGTTTTACTCAAATTAGTAGTAATACTGTTTTTATAAAGACAGTAACCATATTAGTAATTACATACTTGAATGTATAAATAGAGCACTACTGGTATAGAATAAAACAATCGGGTCCCGGTAAGGGGCTCGCCCCCTTCCTCTGCCACAGGCTAGCATCATCCCTCCTCGCACCCATACTCCTCTTTAGTGCAGACCTGTTCTCACCCTCATCTACCATGACAGACTGTCTTGCTGTCTTTTGGAGACAAGTCCAGTGATGGGTCACCAACTGTTTCTCCAAGACCCCCACCGGGATCCTCCCATGCGAATTGGCCCTTTCCCCGGTCCAGTGCCTCATCGAACACCGCCAACGACTGGTGGCGCTGAGGATGGTATGCCTCCCCCCAGAAAGAAACCCAGCTACTGCACGGCTGCACTCTTCCTTCCCTACAACATCCTCTTACTGCTCCCCGGAAGACCACCGAGCCTTAACGGTAGGGCTTACTCCGGGTTACAGACCTCTGAGCTGGAAAACCCCCGAACCATCCCCTCCTGTAAGGAGGCATCTCCTGCTTGATGCAATAGCCCACAGAGTGGTAAAACTTGTTGGACATCTCTCCCGAGTCCCACCAGCATCACCTGCCCTCCTCCCTTCATCCTTGCCCTCACAGGCACCTGAAGACCCCCCCTTTGCGGCCCTTAAGAGGGGTTGCCGGCAGTTCCTCCTAAATGTCTGGTCCAAACAGTACCCACCACCACCCCGTTACATTTACTTGCCCACACTGTCACCCCACCCCTTCATGGGGCTGGGGAAATTCGTGGCAGGGCGCATCCACCAGATGAGGTCAGGAAAAAACTACCTGGCCGGCCACTGCTCCTGGAGGGACCCAGACGCCCCAGACACCTGCCCCTACTACGAGGAGGAACCCGAGTCCTTCCACCATGCCATTCTCAGCTGCCCCTCCTGCGCCAGAGCCAGAAACGCCCACCTCCCGGGGGTTGAGTGCCTGAACGAGGGGGAGCCCCTCTGGTCTTCTCCGGCACTGCTTCATAGCCTTTCCGCGTACATCTCCGCCACCTCAACCGGATTCCCCCCGGACATGCCTGCATTCAGAGATCCCCCCTCTGGGGCCCGCCCTGTCTGGAGTACAACTACCTCCCTCAGCTCCTCCTCTTTGACCTAGGCCAGAGTAGGTGGCACACTTGTTTGGTTTCCTTGTTTGTAGGATTTCGCTTTAAGCTTAGTTTGAATGTTTCCCTTTATAGTAAGCTATTATGCACTTTGCGATATAGGTTGTTTGCGTTTTTTGGAGGCATTGGTTTGGTTTCTTTTGTTTTGTTTGTTTGGGATTAAGGTTTTGTTTACGCCATAGCTACCGCTGTATGCAAGTTCTTGTACCTAAACAATGAATACAAGATTATAAAAATAAAAAAAAAATAAAAAAAAGTATAGAATAAAACAGAGGATAAGAATCTTGAAGTTAGAATCTACCTGTATTCCTGTTATAATGCAATATTACTAGAGGTAATTAAGAAACTTAATAAATCAATCTGACTTTGAAAGAGTTGGTCTTAAAAAGGTTGACTATATTTAGTATCTATTAATTCTAACCACTGAAGTTTCTTATTAGAAAAACTATGATATTATCTAACTGTATCTTAATATTTATAGAACTTTCCAGAACTTGATTGAAGAAAACAGAATATAATTATCAGTACTTGTAACTATAATACATCATATATATTGATATAGAATTTTATAGATATACATACTAGTTTACTACTAAATTAGTAACAATATGAAAGAATTTTACTCTTATAGTCATATTGCAAATGTCCTGGTTTAAAGAAAAGGGTGAATTATTACTGGTATTACTAAATTTCAATATAGAACACTTTCTCTTCAATTCTGATCAGTATTTCTAATTGTTAATCTCGTAAGACTTTCTATCCCCACCTCTGCTCAACTCTCTTTAACCAGTCCATTATCTAGTTTACTAATTTACTTATTTCAAGTAAACTTAGATGATTAGATAATAGAGGCTACTACTTTCATTAAATTTTATGAATACCAATATTCTACCATCTTCATACTAGTAGTAAGGATACTAATATGAACTCTTTATCAAGTGTTCAAAAAATTAAACTTAGTTCAGTCTTTTCCAAAACTACTTTTTCATAATTCACTGGCACTATTTGATTTATATCTTCTTATAAAAAATCTGAATAATCCTATGTAGCTCTCCAGTAATACAGAAAAGTACCTCTAGTTCAACTGTTATTTAAGCTTGTAAAACAGAAATCATACTACCATTAACAGATACCTTAATAATATATGTAAAAACTAATAACATGGTTTTTTTGTTAAGTAACAAAATTAATTACAAAAACAATAGTAGTCCTAGTATATGCATTTGGATACTTCTTACCTATTACTCATAAAGCAAGCAACTTTGGCCTACCTTAAAGGAATTCCAAGGCTTGTGTTTAAATATTTTTACACTAATCACTCTACTGGAAGGAAAAAATATCTGTTACAAATTGTTATTCCGGTAACAGTCCATCTCGATAGCGGATCATCCAGGTATAAGCTCTAATCTTGATTGGCAAAAGGTTTTATTCTGACTTGCCAGTTGAAATAAACCATACTTGAACATTAATATAGTAATACTATAATAACTCTTTATGGAGGGGCACCTATGGCCGAGACAACGGAATCAAGGATGGGGTGGGTAGGCGATAGGATGTCACACTTTCACGGTACCGGTATTGTGCTGTTGAGCCACTCTTTATTTTTTTTCATCCATTGTCATCGGGATAACAAACCTGATCGAAACTATAAGCGTGAACTGCACTGTACACAGTACTGTGCCGCCTTAGCGAAGCGGCCTTAGAATACTACGGTCATGTAGAACAGTCCTCTCCCATTAACTAGATTCTACTCTATTGTACACACTATCTCTGGATATCCTATTCCAGGGGAAACATCGGTGTATACTCCTTTCGAGCTCCTCTAAAGGATTTTACCTAATTAGAACATTAGGCAAATTAAAGTTAGGGGGCTATAGTAAGGCAAACCCATGCGAGGATTAGGACGACAGAAAATCAACTCGTTGGCCTAGCATACCCTATGAAGGTTTGAGATTTACTTTTGAGGGGCTAGCCATTCTCGGTCGTTTAACCGTCAATCATGCCTCGTCATCGCTGCACGGCTATCCTTCTATCTTCTAGCAACATAATGTGAACGATAGAGCAGAATCTCGCTAATAGGTCGAGCATACAGTATATACTTGTACAAGTACTATACTAGTGCTCTTAGTATCGCAAGCGGTGTAACAAATGCCGGCATGAAGTCCCTTCTACCTGCACCAACGACTAGTGTCTGTGCCACAACCTGATGGGGATCTTTTGGAAGCTAACCTCAGTAAAGCAACAGTCCCGAGGCTTGGTGGATTTATTGAGTGGGTTGCTAGACCAAAAAGAGAATATGAATCAATGGAATGGGAACAAGGAGGCAACCTAATACTAGTCTGGTAATTGAGCTCTGCACCAGTACTGTACGAGTACGGGGGTGGAGTTAGGAGAAACCACGCAGCAGGGCGCTAGTAAATTAATATGTCATTTGCTTATCAAGGATCGCAAACACGACTAGTTTGAAATGGAATGATTTTGTTTGGGAATACGTTTGTAACAACATACTAGCACTCCATCTCCTTCAATGAATGAATAATACACCCTTATATATGAGGGTTAACCATGTTACTCTTGAGCTCGCTCGCAATATCGCCGAAATACAGCAGAAGCGCGCATCAAGGATTCGTCTGTTAAACCTTTCTTCCGTTGTTGAGACTCCCAGAAAGAGAAAAGGACCTCTCCCACCCCACGATCCCCTTTACAACCCCCCCCCCCAGCCTACTTCAACTCCGTATAAAAATCTGCATCTGCCAGGGAGCCACGAGGCTTTTATTCTACTCCCATCCGACAACGTCCTGAACGGGAACTATCCTCCTCACTTCCCTTTCCCCAACAAATTGCTCCTGCGTTTTTTGTCCTTGTCCTATTCCTTGTTCTTGCGTGAGCTGGTGTTCGTGCTCCTTCTCGTTTTGGTTACAGAGGTCGCCCGAAAGAAGAGAAAAGGGTCAATCACAGGGTGTGAGAGGCAATCTGCGCAATATGGCTGGCAAAGAGATCTCAATACCCGACTCAGTGAGATCTATTTCTGAGAGCAACAGATTTGGATCTGATATTCGTCTATCCTCGTCCGGCCATGACGACGCTCTGAAAGCTCTAGATGGATCTGAGGCGGTTACTCTCACCCCGGAGAAGGAACGGAAACTACTTTGGAAAATTGGTATGTTTGAAGTGTTTGTGGCTTGGTGCACATAGATGTTTAACTAATATGGGGCCACAAAATAGATTTACATCTGATTCCGATCTTTTCTTTGCTCTATGGATTGCAATTCTTGGACAAAACAACCATCTCCTATGCTGCGTAGGTCTTACGAATTCGGAAATGTCTGCAGGCAGTTGAAGTAAACCGGGTGATTTCTAACAGAAGCGCAGAGTGATGGACATCATACAGGACACGAACCTGAAGGGTGACAACTTCAATTGGCTCGGTATTCTTTTCCCACTTTTCACAGCTATTTTCGAGGTCAATTGGCGACGTTCTAACTGGAGCTAGGGAGTGTTTTCTATTTTGGTTATTTGTTCTGGGCAAGTGATATCCTCCATCAGTTTAAGCATTACCCCGAATGGTGGTGAGTAGTGCCATACTAACTTCCATTCATGTAGGAGTACCCCGCCAATTGTACGCCACATCACCAAATATCACTTTGAGCCTTCTCTGACATCCCTGAAACTAGATCTCATGCAAAAACTTCCATTGGCCAAATTTACTGCCTTCAACATTGTCGTCTGGGGTGGTGTTCTTATGTTACATGTGAGCTCTCCCCGCTCTCCACTTCCTCGGGGGTAATACGACAAGGCGGGTGGCTGACGGAGGAGCAACAAAAGGCTGCCTGCTCAAACTTTGCCGGGCTTACAACAGTAAGATTTTTACTCGGTATATTCGAGGCATCCATCTCACCTGCCTTCCTTCTTTTTATGTCTCATTGGTGGCGTGTTCGAGAGCAAGCATTCCGCACAAGTATCTGGTTCTGCGGGAACGGGGTTGCTCAAATAGTTGGTTCCGTCTGTTCGTATGCCATGGTTCTGGGCATTGAGAAACATGGGTACACAGCTCTGGGAGGATGGCAATTGCTGTTCCTCTCAACTGGGGGGTATGTTGATATTCTTGGCACGAGTTCTGGACCATTTGCTAAGACAGCTCCATAGTCTTACTGTTATTTCAGGAATTCTCTTCTTGTTCCTTGTTCCGGATTCTCCGGCTAGCGCTTGGTTCCTAAATAGAGAGGAGAGAGTCATGGCGATCGAGAGATTGAGAGGAAATAACCAGGGTGTGGGAAGCAAGAAGTTTAAGAAGCAGCAGTTTTTCGAGGCATTTAGGGACCCGCAAACTTACTACATTGCTATCTGGGTCATCACCTCTACAATTGTGAGTTTTCGCTGGCTCTGCCAAGAAAGAATTTTACACAAATCGGCTGCTAACACAATAAAAGCCTAACGGTTTCTTGACTAATTTCAAGAACCTTATCCTGAAGGGGTTTGGATTGAGCGCCGAAAAGTCACTTCTCTATGGCGCACCCAGTGGCGCGGGTACAAACCCAAATAATACCCCCCCAAAATCGAACCCTAAAGCTTACCTCTCCTTCTAAAGTTCAGGTTGTTTCTTGTCTTATTTTCGGATGGCTGGCCAACAAGTACCAAAATCGCATGGCTTTCGCCACAGTTGCAATGTTCATCTCCCTTATTGGGTTCGCGTTAGCCGTCGCTCTCCCAAGGAGCAACTTGAAGGGAAACCTAGCTGCTTATTACATTATCAGCGCTGCCCCCGCAGCCTTCATTTTGCTCGTCAGTTGCATTTCCAGTAATGTTGCTGGATACACTAAAAAGACCACCGTCAGTGCTATCGTCTGTGAGTACCTCTCGATTTTGGAACCTTGGCTTAACTGACTCCTCAGTCATTGCATATTGCGCCGGAAATTTGATCGGGCCTCACACAGTCGATCTTAAGGATGGGCCAATGTATGTTAAGGCTAAGACGATCGTGAGCATACCCTTTTTTTGGAGACGGCCAGTGAGAATACCGCTAACCGGCCTGTAGAGCTTGATTGCTTGGTGCATCTCGGGTGCTATCCTAATTGCCCTTCGCTTCCACTACACCAGCAGCAACGCCGCCCGTGACAAGAAGATGCGTGAGTTGGGCGATAGGTACCGGCACAAGGTGGATCAGGAATTTATGGATTTGACGGATATGGAGTGCGCTCCCCCCATCCCACCTGCCAAAATCATGGAGCACAAAGCTGACAATTTTTCCTGCAGAAATTTAGAATTCCGGTACGCTTACTAAGCCCTACGTTTCTTCCTCCATTCAGGTCTTGCTGCCTCCTTTCCTGATCGGGTTTCTTAAGAGTGTTTTTCTGCGGTGTATTAATGGGACTATTTTATAATATCATCAAATAAATTTGTGCACTCACGACACCCAATGAGATCCGAGTGCGCGAATGTTACCATAAATAAATCTATGAAAATATTATCACACCCGAGCAAGACTTATAATACCCTATGAACGCTCTATCCTTCCGGACCACGGGATGTGGGAGATGACGGGAGTGGGGTTAAGCGGAGGGACAAAGTGAAGAAATGATACAAGGGGGCTTCTGACAAGGCCAAAAGGCAGTACCGGGATGAACTCCTCACTTCGGTAAAGAAGAACAATGTGTTGGCCGCTCACCATTTCCCAAAGCAAAGACAACCTACTAGGATTCCCGCCAGTGGAGGATAAGGTGACAGATAGACCCCAGGGCACCAGTGAGATAATCATGCAACACTTCTCCCAACCAACCCGGGTGCAGTCGGCCCATCTATATCATCCATAGGAACACGCTATGGCTCAGAGAGTAAGGTAACAAGCAATAATGTTTCTGAGGTCTTTAAAAAATATTCCAATAAATGCGCAGTTGGTCTCCATTAGATACTCTACTTGGCATAGAAGTATATGCACTTAAGTTGACCAAACAAAGAGGCTATTCTAGCACTAGTGGAAAGCCTATTGGATTTAGGCTTGGATCCCCCAATGCCGAAAGAATTTATAAATGCTATTCTACTAAATTCTAATGAATAAGCTATTGAACTACACTGACTTCAGTGCAATTGAGTTGATATAAACCTTGTCCAACTTTGCAGGAATAATATTCAGCCTGCCAGGCGGATGAAAATTGAACATAAAATAGAACTATACTGCATGGATCAGAAACTGAGAGCCTGCTACAGAGGCCAATAGTAGATACCATTCTATCTCTATATACAGTGCCTTGTCAGAAGTGTTCGTGATGCTACTAAGCAACCTCACTAAATGCCACCTCACCAAATACTATCCTGGCCAAGCTGATGGCGACCATACCAACTGTACCTGTCCTCTATTTACACCACAATACTACCATAACCATGACCCTGTACTACCTCCAAGTCCTTCATTTTAATAATACTGAATTTTTAATGATTAACTAAACCAGTCACGAATGTGGCTTGGCATAGAAAAAGGTTTTCACATGACTTATAATTATGAGTCATCGGTATGTTATTGTTTCACACATATGACTCATTTGGGTCGTATGACTTATTATATTATGATTTGTTATGTTTCCTACATGACTTGATTATGAGTCATGGGACATGCGACTGGTGAGTATGCCTTGCGGTATGCCTTGCGCATATGATTGATGTTTTGCACATGACCTCATTATGAGGTCATGGGTTTTGTGCATATGACTACTTTGAGTCATATGACTTGTTTATTGCGTTATGATTGGTTTATGAGTTTTCGCATAAGACCTCACTATGAGGTCATGGGTTTCGGACATGTGATCACTTCGGTCACATGATTTGTTTGTTAGGATTTACTTTCGTGCATGTGACCACTTTAGGTCACATGACTTAGGGTGGGAAGAGTACTATATAAGGTGGCCGGTACGGCCAAGGAGGATAGGCTCTTCATGCTTTGTTCTAAGTACTTTTCCTTGTCCTTGCCATGGCTTTGCCCAGAGTATTTCTTTCGCACCCAAGGTGGGCCATGATACCTTGTATTCTGGGAGAGATATCTGAGTTTACTCAGTAGTTCCTGGGGTCCTTGGTATTGAGGTCAGTAGGCGTTGTGTAGCGGATTACTAGTTTGCTTCTCGTTTCGTTCCTTGCTGGTTATCGCATAATGCTGGCACTTTGAGCACTTCATCATGGTTGCTTACGAGCTCCTTTCAGTAAAATATGTTCGACTTTCTGTCTATAGCCTACTCGCAGATTTTACATTCGATTGGGGGGGCTAGAACATTGTGTTTCGGGGGATCACCCATGTCATTCTTTGGGTCAGCTCATGGTTGTTGGGTTTTAATGGAGTCTTTAGTTCTCGCAATACAAAATGGCCTTGGGTTAGACTGATGACCTTTCCAAGTTTAACTCATCGTACTGGCTGCATCATTCCTCAGGTAGCAGGGTAGTGCCTACCTAGCCCCTCCTTGTTACATTATATTTCTACGGTCTGAATCCTACAATGTTGTTTATCACTGTTCCCTTGGAAGTTTTGTCCTTGCTGCATTTACAGTGCTTCAGTCAGGTGTCTCCTCCTCACCTCGGTGGGAATGGCTTTGACCCTGAAAAATCTTACCCCTTAGTGTGGTGTTTATTACTACCTAGAGTAGTGTGGGATGATTGGCTACCAGACACTTGCATTGTCTGTGCGTTTGGGTGGTTTGGTTGTGGACTATGGTTGGCGGCTTCACCCATTGCAAGTGGGGCCTACCTGCTCTTTGTCTGCTTCTGTTCGCTCACACTTTCCCTCCATATCGCGTCTGTTGAGGGTATCTCTTGCCCTTCATTCGGTCTGTATTGCCGGACCTGTGGGGCTGGCTGTGGCTAGCTCTACCTACTCTTTTCTGGCTTACTTGGACTTCGGTTCGTCTAGGTTGGATGGTGTGGCTAGTACCGGTGCCTTTGGGTGTTGGTGCTGCCTCCTTTATGGCTCCCAGCTGTGGCTAGCGGGCCCCCTGCAGCTGCAAGGTGCTGGGGGTTGGGGCTTTATTAATGTGGTCAAGACTAGTGGCTGCCTGATGGGGCCAGGTATGGGCTGTCCCGTGGCTAATGGATGGTTGATCTTACTGAGGAGCTGGGAGGCTGGATGGACTCTATGGTGTCTGGTATGTGGGGCCTAGAGGGTACTGATTAGGGGGGAGAGGCACCTGAGAGCACTGGTCAGGCCTGTATCAGATTGGGCGAGGTCTAATTAAGTGTTTCTAGCCCAGCTTGGGCTGTTGAGTGAAGCTGCTGAGTGCTGCAAAGCTCCTTGCCAGACCGACAGGTTAATGGCCACCGGTGTGGATAGTGGGTTGCGACAACCTTGTTGGACTTGTTTGGGTCTTGCGCGCTGGACCTTGTAGGGCTTGTTTGGTTTCTTTGGTTTGGCTACGGGTTTGGCAGGAGGAGGCATGGTACCACGGGTAGAAGATATGCCCCACTGACCTTTCTTGGTCTGTTACTACCTCTATGAATCTTTTTTTTTTTTTATGTTTGTATTGATTTGGTTGGGGGACAGGCAGCAGGTAAAGGTTCTCCTCACAGGTACACTCTTTGGAGGCAACTGTTAAAGTGGATTTATAGGGTCGACGGCCTGATATGCGGATACTAGAGGTTGAAATGTTGTTTGCCTCCTCCCTGCCATTATGTCGCCTGTAGGTTTAGTTTGTGTGGTTGTTTGTTAGTTTTCTACTATGGTGGAGGTTTCGCGGAACGGTTTTTTAGACCGGGTAGTAGTGATTTTAAGTTTGTTGAACGAGGAACCTGGTCGGGTTAGTCTTTTGCTTGGCTTTAGCTACACTTAGTGCTGGTTGGCTTCATATCAGAGGGGCTACAAACTTAGACCGGGATGGATACTAGGTTGCTTGATGGCCTTGTAATTAGTTCTCGTGAGGGCATGACTCGGGGATGGCAGGTACAGGGCCTTAGACTTAGTTAGTTTAGGATTAGTGATATACCAGTTAGTGGTATCCCTGTGCCAGTGGGGGCTTGTTGTATGCCAGTGTTGACGGTATGAGTTTAAATAAAATTAGATTGAATTCTAAGTACTTTTCCTACTTATTACTCTAACGCATATAAAACTCCTTTACGATCTTTATCTTTATTGCAACATTTATAATTACGCTGAGGAAAGCTCTACATGAAGAAGAGTTAGAGAAAGCTTACAATAGGTGTTCTTGATAGAAGACAAAGGTCTTGTACTATTGGTGATATAGGCAGAGGCCTAGGGCTATCGTAAGACTAAGAAAAGAAACAGAAGAAGAAGAGAAGTATCATTCTCTGTCGCCAAGAACTAACTATCCGAGGAGGGATTATTACAGAACCAGATATATATTAAAAAAAATGAAAGCAAACTCTAAAGACATCCAGAACAGCAATGACCAATATTGAAAAAGACATGATTATTAGATTTTCTACTGCCTCTGGAATATTGCTCTTGTTACTCAAATTATTGGCCTACCATGAACAACTATTAAAAGCTTCCTCCTTGACACATGTGAGTACTAATTACTGGATAATATCCATTGCCCTAGTCACATGTAAACTCTTACACAGCGACAGCATTACACCATTAGCCAACAGGCCAAATACAATTGTAAGATGGTCAGATCAGATTTTAGGGATTAATATGTACTAAGTGTTTTACTCTCCACTAGTAACAATTAACCTCTTGTACCTACCTAAATGATAGAATATGATTATCTAACAAATTTATAGTTGCTGGTGATAGGATTCTCAAGAGAAGCCAATATCGAGAAATAACTAGTTAAAGCAAGATCAAAGCTTAAGTCTGTGTATATTGCTAAAAGACTAGACTAGACCAAAGCTGATAAGGATTAGTCAGCTAAGGATTTCGAGAGAGTTATTTGGAGAAATGAGTGTAATGGAAAGAAATCTAAGAATACTAGATAGCAGTAAGTTTTCAGAGAACCAAGGGAGCAGTGGCTTGCAGATTTTGTTCAGCCAAAAGAAAAGAATAAGAAAATTTTACTAATAGTATGGGGGTGCTTTTAGAGGAAGAGAAAAGGCCCTTTAGTTTCTATCATCCAAAATATCAATAAGACCATGTATATGTAACAATACCTCTGCAGATAGTTAGTTCTTGGTGATGGGGAACAATACTTCTCTCCTTCTTCTATTTCTTTCCTTAGTCTTACGATAGCACTAGGCCTCTGCCTACAGTAGCAATAGTCCAAGACCTTTGTCTTCTATTGGGAATGCCTATCGTAAGCTTTCACTAACTCTTCTTTATGAAGAGCTTTCCTCGGCGTAACTATAAATATT